TATTTTATTTTATTTTTAGAAACAGGATCTCTGCTCTGTGCAGTACCACCACCACAGCTCACCGCAGCCTCCAATTCCTGAGCTCACGTGATCCTGCTGCCTCAGCCTCCCAAGTAGCTAGGACTACAGGCTTGTGCCAGTATGCCTGGCTCATTTTTTTTTTTTTTTTTTTGAGACAGAGTCTCACCATGTTGCCCAGGCTGCTCTCAAACTCCTGGCCTCAAGTAATCCTCCCCGCCTTGGCCTCCCAAAGTGCTAGAATTACAGGCATGAGCCACTGCACCTGGCCACTTCTATCTTTTAGATTTAATCCTTTGGGAAACGTTTCCCCTTCAGTTAAACTCCCCACAAAGCAGGTAATAATGGAAAGAGTGTATCAAAATTTAGCCTATTACGATGGATTCAAAGCAAGCAAGTAAAAAGTTGATTAGAAAGACTAGGAGACAGAACATTCATTCCATTTTATGGAGTTAAGTGTTGCCTAAATCTAGAATTACAAAGAAAAGCCAATTAAGATCTTTAAAATTTGCTATAATTTTGTCTTTTGCCAGTTTCTGGCAACCAACAAAAGGACCTGAAGGAAGGACACTGCTAACGATTCCTGACACCCCTTGAAGAACGTGAGGAACAAAGGAAAGGTTCTGCTGACCCTTTTGAGGTCCACTGTCTTCCCCACAATTCCCTGAGAGTCAGTTTCTCTCAGGTCAGGCTCTGCTCTTTTTGCATTCAGCCCCCTAATTTTTTTAACTTTCAATTCCTAGGACTAGTTTGTACTGTGAGAGAGTGCATAACCTTGGGTTGGGCACCAAAGGTTACTTTGTGTTGTGAGAGAGCATATGATCTTTTGGGGTTTGTGGTGATTTATGAGTCACTTGGAAGAGGGGAAGTCGTGACAGAAACAGCACTGGGCCCAGTAGGGAGGTCTCAGGTGTCTTATTGGGTCAGACAGAAACTGGCAATAAATGGCAATCACTGCAGGAGGTGTGAACTCTGGCTTTAGAAATTTTCAGGGATTTTGTGTTCTATTCTCTTTATTTCTTTTTTTTGCGTGCTTACGTAGGGAACAATCACTGGCTAACTTGGTGAGAGGATCTCAAAGCCAAAGCTACGACTTGACAGGGGGGCAAAGATCAGCCACTTAAGAGCTGTTAAGGCACTCACCACCAAAAAATAGGACTTGCTTTATGAAAAGCTGGTCAAAGAAATGGGTTAGTTGACATTAGGTCACTTGCTAGCCTCAAGAAAACATCCCTGCAGGCCCTCCTGTTACAACAGGGGGTCCATTCGTTGTCTGTGGCCAAAATATCTTACTTTACTCAATAAACTTTACCTCATCCTTGCCTTAAAAAACAAAAACAAATCAACAACAACAAAAAAAACAAAACATTCCTCCAACAAGGTATACTGTAAAGTGTTACAAGACCCAACCCTTTAGACTTTTATCTTGGCCGGGCGCAGTGGCTCACGCCTGTAATCCTAGCACTCTGGGAGGCTGAGGTGGGTGGATCGCTTGAATTCAGGAGTTCAAGACCAGTCTGAGCAAGAGCGAGACCCCGTCTCTACTAAAAAA